GTATAGAAATGAGAGTGGTATCAATCTTCTCATGTAACTTTCAGCAAGAAAACAAAGAAGAGTATTTGCCAAAATGATGAATTACTCCTTGAGGTTATTAACAGTAGAATGAACAACCCACACAGCAAAAGTTGTTAATTCAACATTGATATGAATGTCAGAAAGGTTACTATAACTTTGGGGTTGACAATTCTATTATAAATCAACATTTTTACAGCAGTCACAGTTTATATGTTGAACAAATTTCCCCCAAATTCCCAAACGAAAACCCACAGACATGACCTCAGGGTCCTCAGTGGTACACTACAGCCCTGGTCACTGTGGTAAACAGCCCACCAGCCTGCATGCAGTACAGAAGCAGTCACAGATGGCGTTTGGTACCTGTGTCCGAGACATTCTCCTTCTTCTTCTGCACCAAGCCAAGCACAGCAGGAGAAGAGACAGAGAAAAAGCACAGATTATAAAAGAAGGCAGGGTAAGAAATAAGGGGAATAAAGATTTAGAAGCAGTGGGAAGAGGCGCACATAAGCACACACACACACACACACTCAGTAGAGGAGTTGAGAGAGGAGGCAGCAAAGAGGCCAGTGCATTTTAATCCCTTTCACAAGAGAGGAAGAGATAAAAGGGGGGGAATGGATTGAAAGGAGAGAAAGCCAGCAATAAGCTATAAGCATGACCATACACATGAAGGCAGCAGTAAGTACACTGGGGGGATGGACTGTCAGTGTGTGCATGTGCTGCAAGATTCTTCTGCTTCAGTGTGACAGGCTTTTCTAAATAATTTCCCTCAGAGGGTTGAACAGCAGTGCAGCGCAGTGCAGCAAGCAAATAAAAACGAGGTAAAAACAAGGGTGTATTTTCAAAGGGACGCTTTCTTATATGTATTTGCATGTGTGTGTGAGTGTTACCTGTATGTAGGAGACTATGTCTGTGGTGAAGAGTGTGTGGCAGAATTGGGAAACAGGTCTGGACTTCCGAACACGCACTGACCGAGCACATTGCATTCTGGGAAATATAATAAATACAATTTTACATGTGGGTGTTAATACTCAAGATCTAACGATGTTTGCTAATCGCTATTATCAGTTACACTTTTAGTAACTCCCCACCTCTCACCCCCTCTCCCCCCTCTTTATACATAACAGAAAGTTGCCCAAAGTTGCTTTTTGGTCCATAGTTTGTTTATTCTCTTTTCACTTCTCCTTGTCCTCTCTGCTCTCTCCATGTCTCTGTACCTCTCTCAGTCATACTCTCTTTATTCTTGGCTGTGTAAATACACTGTTTACCTGGAAGGGTCACTGTCGACAGCCTCAGCTGGAAGAAAAAGACAAAACAAGAGAGTGAGGTTTGGTTTAGGATCCTGGTGCAAACAATGTGCAGCATTATTAAAGGGGAACTTTTACACATACACAGAGTTTGTTTACAATCATTCATTAATTTTTAACAGGGTGGATGGCCCATTGGGAGCATTGGGGTAGGGGTAGAGTTACTAACCCCCGTGGGTCTCTTCAGCAGGGCGTATTTTAGGCTGCACAGACGCTACAGAATGATCATAGGAAAATTAAAGGAGTACTACAGGTAGCTTGTGTCTCTATGATCCTTCCACGACTTTGACACTACTCTAGTATATAGCCTACAGTATAGTATAGAACTGGGAATTTATAGTATTTAGTTGAGAGAATATTATAGATCCAACACAAAACTGGACGGGACTGCAAGAAAGAAAGTGTGGCGTTAAAAAGAGGTGAACTTATCAGACCTCTACCCATTTTCCTCATCTCTGCTTGAAGCCAGAGGCTCGAGCCTGTCAACCCACACTGGTCCTTCACAGATTGGAACAGTAACATTATAAGAAATTGTCCTCCCCAACATCTAGCACTGTAGTATAAGTGTACCTTTCTGTATGGCATCATGTAGAAGGTCATGTTTGGCTTGAAGTTTGGAGGTCAGAGAACTGCTGGTGAGGAACTCCTTCACTTTCTAAGACAAAAAAATAAACCAAAATGATTCAATGTTGTTCAACTGCTTCAGCACACTTTCTGAAACTCTGGTGAAATTCTCAAAAGATGCAATCATCACGATAATTTATACAGCGCTTCACATTTCATTTGTCCTTCAAAAGGCCATTACTCACTCCAAACATTTAACGCATGTGTCAAGAGTGAACAAATTGATTGGTGAGTGCATCACTGCCAACAAAATTACATTCCTCTTTATCATTGCTAAAGCTAAGACAGCCAAGTGTTTACAGAGCTGTGTCAGCACGACAGAAGATACTGAAACTGTGTTCTCTTTCGATCTCCTCTAGTACTTTTACTTTTGGTATTTTCAAGATTCAAGATTCAAGATTTTATGTATATTTTGTATATTTTGTACTTTTACTTGAGTGGTTGTGAGCCACCAGTTTGGATTCACTCAAATTCCCCTTGAAATCAGATGACAAGAGGCAGTGGAAACCCGTAAAAAGGAAAAATTTTACAATAAGTACTTCTTCCATCACTGTTGGCAGATATGGTATACTATAACTGCAATAACTTACTGTAAAATAGTAGGTCTCTGTCTCCTGCTGATTGGCTCGACGCTTGGCAAGGGTAAGTTTTTGGGCGGTGTTTCCTCCAGGGGGCTCTTGTGATAGGCTGCTGGGCACGTCGGGGGAGGGGTTACAGTCGCTGTCACAAATAGTGTCCAGCAGGGCTGTGAGTGTGGCTTTAAGCGTTTTACTGACCTGAGAAAAGGAAGAAATGTTTATTTGTTAATTCAGTTAATTCATTTTGTGACTGATTGAGTGACGGATGGACGGGGACAGACAGATAAACAGATCATTATGAAAGCAGATAGTGAGAATAATTATCAGACCTCCTCTGTTTCCAAGGTAACGGCAGCGAGTCGAGACTGAAGCTGCTGGTACCTGGTCTCCAGCTCGTACCTCACCTGGCTCTCCGCGCTCACCTCACACACCTGGAATACATAAACAACAAATAGAATATATAAAACTACAAGGGCTCATCAACTTCAAACCAGCGGGATGTTGTTTGGAGAGAGAAATCAAATAAACGTTGTATTTGTTGGGGAGGGGTGGGATACTTTAAAAGTATGTGATACTTGCAATTTTTTTTTTCTTCATACCTCATTTCTGATCGGCCTTAAAAACACTAATGTGTTGAGGAGCATTTTGTGCTGGTGTTTAATGTCTGGTGGCATGCAAAAGCAATATAACAGCTATTTCTGCTTAAACAATCTTACTCTTTAACAATAAGGTCTGCAAGGATCATTTCCATAATGTTGTCAGAGACTTAGAATAACAATCTGAGCCTGTCAGTGGCAAAAACAAGCACTTTTAGTGGAATTATTTGACAGGCGCATGGAAAGTGGAAAAGACTAACAAAGATGGTAAAAGCAAGTTTTATTTTGTTTCTGTCAGATTTGAAGTGGGTTTTATGATTATCTCCTAGGTAAAATCTTCGTCAATTGAGTCTGGTAGGCTGTTGCGCCCAATTGTCTTGGTCTTGGTGCTCTAGTACAATATCTAATACCAGTGATTTTTGCATATATAACTATTAAAGCCAACCATCACAGTCCACAGGGTCTAAATTTAAACTGGACAGTGTAGAGGCATCAGGGTCAGCTTTTAACCGGACTGCACACTGGATGAAAGCCCCACCCTGCGTATTTACTGCTGCAGTGCCTGCCAAACTTTGACTGGACACTAATGCAGTTTACAATATTACCAGTGTCAGATTTAACACTTTTGGTATTTTTAGTAATTACAGCAATTTAGTAACACTGGGTCTTTGATTTCACACAAAAGCAACGGCTGTTAGCAGACTTTATAGGCTGTAGCTAGCTGGCTAATTAGTGCTAACTTGTGCGATTTGGTTAATAGCAAAATGGGTCTATGTGGTAGGTAAGTAACAAGACAAAATAGCATTTATGTTGCATATCCACAAGTCTTCCATTAAAAAATGGGTGCAATACCTGTGAATTTAACAAAAGATTTGGGCTTCCATGGAAACCATACACCTCCACCAGAGGTACAGTGATCTCACCTGGTCTCCCTCATGTGGATGGTAGTTGAATCTGAATGGAAGGCAGAAGGCAGCGTCGTGTTGCTGTAGCAACGCATCTCTGTCTCCGCCTTGATCCAGGGACGTCACGGCAGCCTCCAGCTGCTTGAGCCCCGTCTCCTCTGTCTTCTGGATGCGCCACCTACTGGCCAGGTAGCACTTCATCACCCTCTCCATGGACAGATGGAAACCCAGGTCACAGCACTGCCAGCATGGAGGGAGAAAGGAAGGACACAGAGAAAGATGGGAAATGATGAGGTGGGAAGGCAATGATGGAGAAGAGGGGGAAAAAAGACAAGAAAGGGGCAGAAAGAATAAACAAATGATGTGGTGATGGTGGTGTGGGGGAAAGAAAGTGTATGAGACAGAAGGTTTTTTTATTTTAGGCAGTTTTTTCTTAGGAAACCCAAACTATTCTATTCTTTCTCCACATAATATTTCACCCTTTTTCGGAAAATAACAGGAAAAAATCACATGACACAAACTGTGTGTTTCTTACGTCGATGAGAGTGCTGACATCCTGCAGGTAGTACTTGTTCATGGCTGCATTGGCTGCTGCTAGATTTAGCAGGTAGTCATTACGAGCCTTGGTACACTTCAGCTGGGTCTCCTGCACTCTGCCATGCCTCTGTGTGCGCGCACACACACACACACACACACACAGAAACAAAACAAGTGAGAGAAGATAACATAAATGAACACAAGAACAAAAAGCCACATGTGCTGATAAAAGATGACTGTAACATGCCTCATCTTAATCAAAACCATAAAGGAGGTTTATACACCTAATCACACTCAAAAAAAAGGAAATGGTTTGGCCTGCGCCCTGTTCTCTCTCTCACACACACTCACTTTCTCCATCAATCTCTCCATCTTCTTGACAGAACTCCGCCTCTGTCCTCCTGATTGGCCGAGGCCGAGCTCAGCTGACTTGCCGGTGTGCCTCTCCTCCAACCGCTCGGCTTCCTTCAGTTTCCCCTCAGCTATCAGACAGTCCGTGTGGTACTGGTTATATGTCTTCAGAGCCTTCATTAACACACATGTCACATAGTGGAAAATCCATGTCAGCATTGCCAGTGTCAATGCATATTGCATTATTTTTATTGCATGCAAGGACAACAACAGAAAATGCTCACCGTCTGCAGCTCAGTGGTGACCTTTAGCAGCTCATCCTGCATCTGGATGCCAACTTCTTTGCTCTGCAATTTACAAAATAGATAGAAACATTTGACACTTACACAACATAAATATAGAAACAGAGATACATCATTGGCTGCTGCCATATGCCAGCGCTATATGTCTGCGCGACCACCAAATTGCGGAGGTCAAGATCAGCTAGTTATCAATACTGAGAGATGTAGACTTCACTACAAAATCGACTGTAACTCACTTCATTCTGGACCAATTTTCATGAGATTTGGTTTGTTTTAAAAATGAGAAAGCAATTAATTCAGGCAACTCAATGCCAAAAAATTTACCTTCTAAACACACAACTAGCTATAACTTCTGTCCCTCAGTACTGTTAACTAGCAGATCTTAAACCCCCCAATATGGCGACCGCACAGTTGCACAACAAAATAAGAACAAGGTATCTAAATTTCTATATCTATGTTTTTGAAGGCATAAGATTATTACAATATACACTTCTTTGCTTTCTTGCAGAGAGTTAGGTGAAAATCGATATCCCTCTCATGTATGTACGCAAAATACCTATGAAGCTAGAGCCACCAGGCAATTAGCTTAGCTTAGTAAAAAAGGATGGAAGTGAGGGAAAACAGCTAGCCTGGCCTAGTCTGTCCAAAGTTGAAAAATACACCTCCCACATCTCTAACGTTCACTAATTTACTTTGTTATATCTCGTTTAATTGATCAAATCAAACCATGTCAAAACAATGAATTGTCTTACGTAGAGTTTTGTGCTAGATTTATGCTAGTTGCCAGACAACATCAGGGAGAAAACAAGACTCCAGCATGCAATTTGTAGTTCAAATTCTCAGCAAGGATCAAATAGTCCCAAAATGTCAAATTATTCCTTGAATTAAAAATGGACTCAAATTAGTGTTGCTAAATAAATACAAAAATAACACTACATAACAATAGTAATTCATCACTTTGCAACTGGGTTGTTTTGGTGGAAAACTAATATTTCATGTTTATTCTAATTTAGCCATTATCACTTGGTATTTCGTGCATAGAACTACTTTGATGGCAGCAATAACAGATTGAATATAGTGTTGGCAGTGATTTTAGAGAAGCTAAAAGGGTCTTGCTCTGCCTGCCGTCGGGCCTAACAACATCTCTTAGGTGCTCTGAAACGACTGGCTTAATTAAAATTCTGCTCACTTTTCAACTATGAGAAGGAACAGAGAGTGTATCTGACAACCAGTAATTTGGGCAAGATCAGTGTGTGTACTTGATGAATGAATGAGACTGCAGATGCTACTGCGGTTCCAAGACAAATACATAAAGGGGCATTTATAAGAAGACTTTCATTGTGTCCAGTGTGTGTCAACTTATAGAGCTTATTTGGTGAGTCTTTTCACTTTTCAAGGCTGGCAGGAAACAACTGGACTTATTTGAGTGTCTATATTACAAAATTAATCTGCCAGCGCTGAAAAATAATAGGAAATGGATAGAGGTAGGATGGATGACATTCAAAATAAATGGAATGTAAAACAAGAATCTGTGTTAGAATGGTTATTTGCACACGGGGGGCAGGACCTGCGTGACGACTACCCTGGCGTACAGCTTACTGGGCTTTCACTGTAAGTCTTGTATGTGTCTGGTGTTTCTGTTTTCCAACCAGATGTGAGCATCCCACTCACCGCACCCGCCTTTGTGCAGAGCGGTGTGTATCCTCCGTACTGTGTGTCATACCGCTGTTGTGAGATGGGTGTTGCAGCAGGTGTCGCCAGCTCAAGTGCTGCGTGTCCCTGGCTCTCCAGACCCGAGTCTGAGTCAGCAAACAGATGGGGAAATACGAGACCGCGCACCTTGATAGAGAACACAGACTGACCACTGCTCCCCTTCCTGGAGAACAGAACAGGCATCCCATTACTGAGATGTGGTACTAATGGAAACACTTCAGAATCACTGAGAAATAAAAAAGGACACATGCTAGCAACTCTCATTACAACTTAAGTAATAACACAACCTCACTTCTTAGTCTTGTGGGTTGAAACCTCATCGGTGAGTTTGTCGAGAATTCAGCGAGCACCGCGCATATTCAGGAACTTCGATGTCGCCTCGAACGCCCGGAGCAGACTCTGAGAGGTTCTGAGAGCTGTCGTTTCACCTCCACACCTAGATCTTAAATCTTGATCGGTCGGTCAGTTTGGGCCCGCAGTGTCTGACGCACAAAGAGATCAGACAGACAGAATGGGACAGGCACAGAGAATGACAGAGTAGACAGTGGAGAGAAAGAGGATGGGACAGATGAAGATTCTAAAGCGGAATATAATGTATCTTTATAACCCTAGAGCACATACTGACTACAAACAAAGAGTGTGAAAAGAAAACACATTACATAGAAGTATTCACACAAGTGTGCAGATTTTCTATTTGCAAGAGTTGACTCCTTCTTGTCATCTATTCATACTTTCACTTCTAACCTTTCTTGGATACCTCGTCAGCTTTCTCCTTCTTACTCACGTACTCATATACACATCGTGTTCGCGTACGGGCTCGATCTATGTTGTTCAGACGAAGAACAAACGCATTTGCTACATTAGCAATCAGATGAACTAGCGCTAACCTAGCTAGCTACGATTTCGGGAAAATCTAATGAACACTATGCTAATAATGTCTCCTTCTTCCTGTAAAGTCCATTCTCAGTTGGACTGTGCACTGGTGGTCTTGAAGTTTTCTACCACACTGTACACAAGGTTGCTTATCTGGACCAGGACTGACTTCCAGACTAATTTGTGAGTCACAAATGGCTGGTCAGTGCCCGCCCCTTAATAGAATCAGATGTTCTAGACTGAGCACGAGAGAAACATTCGATTTTAATCAAAAAACATCCTTTCTAAGTGCAAATCCCTCTGCTACATTACATTATCACATTTACTCAAGTACTTTATTTAAGTGAGGTACCTGTATTTTGTATTTTCATGCTACTTTATACTCTACGCTTAATTTCAGGTGCAAATATTGTAGATTGTACTACATTTACTTAACAGCTATAGTGATTAGTTAAGATTTTACATAAAAACACACATTAAAATACAATTTATTGTTAAAGATTAAACCAGTGGTTCCCAACCTTTTGGGCTCTGGTTACTTTCATTGTTGGATATTATTTATTCAGAATGGAAGCAGCCAGAAAACAGAAAATGGTAAAATTTGGTTTTCAGTGGTGGAAAAGTTATTTTGTTAAGCATATATCCTTTATGAAACAACTAGATATGGATGTGAAAGTATGTATGTACATATTTGGAGGTATGTGCATACCTTATGCATATACAGTACTGTAGAGCAGTATAGGTTATATTATATATATATATATATATGTATATATATGTGTATGTCTCATGTTGCTTGTTAATAAATACTAGGAAAAAAAGGATCTATGCATATCACACCTGCTCCTGCTTGTAGATGCATGCACACAGGCATACAGTGTAGAGTATGGAGATATACAGTGTCAGTATAAAGCATACACATGTGCAAGAATCTAATCATGTGCGCTTGTGCATGAGGAAACAATACCTGTATACACAATCAGTTTATAACTCACACTGCTGTATTTTTAGAGCTGTGGATGGACATCCATTGGTCCATGAGGAATAGTTCATTCATACAATAACTAAATTAATAAGAAATGATCCAATTAGAGAATATATAAGAATGTCTTTTCTAGTCTAATCACACATTTCACCTGAACAATCTCTCCCTAACCCTAACAATCGCTCCCCTAGGGAACAGGTTTTAATCCCTGCTGTCATTTGGAGGTGTGAGTTCCACTGTTTTTAATTCGACAGCATTATTACACACAGCTCACTTGTAATAACCCAACATAACCTTGTATTACACACACAAGCTCGTATGCAAACACGGCTAAGCCAGTAGCGACATGGCCCTTTGCTGCACTTTGGTTTGAAAAGGCTAATACAAATATCGTTCTCTCAAATAACCCCGCCTTCGCTTTGCTCTCTCCCTCCTCTCTCTCTCTTCTGTTCTTACCTGCTCTTGGCTCTCTCTTTCTTATCTTCCTTGCTCAACCCCACCTCCCACCCCCCCCAGTCCGCCAGTCCTCCCTCTTTCCCCTCTTTACTCTTTTCCTCTGTCTCTGTGTGAGTACACAGCCCGGGGCTGACTGGATGTGAGGAGACAGCATCACTAATACTGGCTATAAATACACCCTTGTAGTACAGTACAGAGAGCCACCCATCCACGGCATGCACCCTCAAAAACACAGCATACACACACACTGTTGTCGTAACATGAAAATCTTGTAATGTCAGTATCGATCATGCTCATCTTTTTACTTTGATTAAAGCATTCTGTTCTACTATTGGCCTTAAGAGACCCTGCATGGATTGTTATCGAGCTCCAAACAAGGGTGATTATCTCGGTTTGTGACAACGTCTACGCATCTATATATATAAACAAATATGTTCTATGGCTGGATGAGCAACTGCACACATTCATGCACGAATGCGCATGTGCCCTCCTATATGCATTCATGCATGCAGGTAGTGCACATGCACAAGCAGAAGTGTAATAAAGGGCACAGACATACACAGAGACAAGCAGATGACGCACACACATGCACATCCAGTGTGACTTACCTTTCATCTGCGATTCGTATTCGGCCAGACTCCCCTTCTCCCTCCTCAGCTTTCCATGTGATGTCATCATCTTTGACCCCTTGACTCTCGTTTGTCACTGAGACCTTCCTTCCTGAACCCTGATTCTTCTTGCAGCCTCACAGTCTCCCCTCCCGAAACCTTTTTAAACTCAGCGCCTGCTCCGGGTCTCGAGTCCGTGACCTTTCACCCCTGACTCCTCTGCCTTGCTGCTCTACAGCTGCGTGCAGGGCATCAGCATCAGTGTTGATCGGCTGCACTCGTGGGGATGTCAGTCGATGTGTTCGTGGAATCCCTTGGGTTTCTGATATGAATGCTGATCCATAGGTGGACTGGCCTGAGCAGCAGACAGAGGGGAAATAGAGGGAATAGATGATAATGGTGAGAGAG